AATCCTGCCAGGACTCCTCACTTACTAGTCACCTTATGTCACAAATATGTCAGGTGGTGGGCAGGTGGATAACCCCACCCACCTATCAAAGATGGCCATGAGGTGTGGAGAGATAAAGTTCTGGCCCACCAGACCAAAACATTCCCCCACCTTGCTCTCTATGATCTTTCATGCAGAGAACTGTCATCGCTTCATTTGCTCTTGGGCAGACCTGGATCTTGATGGTAGCCTGTATGTTGTCTCTCCTTCCCTGTGACCTTTTTCCAGATATTCCCTGGTTCTGGGATTCCCCGCCCCCTCTTCCTTGCAAAGTCTAAGGGGAAGTGGCATACTTGGCCCCTCTGCCAGCAGAAGATCTTGGAACAGAACCAGGAAGCCATGTTTTCCCTCACAGGGGTGCCTGAAGTAACCACACTGTACCGCACAGTGGTATGTGTTGTTGGGATCCATTTCAACATTGCTGAACTGACCATGTGGGCAGCTTCCCAGCCAAGAGCCGCCTGCCCTCTGCCACACAGTCCTAAGAAGAAGGGAAGGGCTTCAGGCATCTTGAGAAGCTGCCAACTGCGTGAGGGACAGGATGGAAGAAACTGCAGCTGTTCCGTTCTGTCAGTCTTCGATGTGATAGGAGGCCAAAGCTCTATTGTATAGGGATCAAACTAATGTTAAAAAAAACAACACTCCAGATTTTTCTTATGTGAATTCATGTTGCGGAATAGGCTATCCTGCAGAACATGACGCTGGATCCTGACCTTTGGACACCTTGCATTTTATACTAGCAGTAGGCATGGCTATCTCACTGGAACTTGTTTTCTAGGGAACTGGGAGCAGGATTGTGTTTTTAGGACTGGTGTCGATTTGAAGCACACCTCACTGCCACTGGACCTGCACTGTAAAATCTACAAGCTCATAATTTGAAGAAAATGAAGACTTTCTCTAATTTATAGAACTGATACGAGTCAAAGGGGACCAAATGGCTCTTCAAATTCTTCCACAAGACTGGAGCGCCCAGTTGAAATCTCCCCACAAATAAAGGCATCCAATCCAGACCACAATGTGCCACAAGAAAAGAGAGGGAACATAGAACACTGTCAGCAGAGAACGTGCCCTCAAATGACTCAATCTTCAGAAGTGGTGGGGTATTTCTGGTGCCTTCCCCAGGGCCATTTTCTATCTGGAGAGGTTTGTGATTTTGCTGCTTTCTCCTTTACTGTATGATTGAATAATACTGCAAATCTATTAGAGCAGTGTTTCCCAAACTTTTTTGGGCAACGGCACACCTGTTTACTGAAAAAAAATCTCGCGGCACACCACCATTAAAGCCCCGCCCCGTGACGTCAGCGCGCAGCGTCACGCCGGGAGGGACGCACGAAAGTGAAAGTTTTTTCCCTCCCCCCTCAGTCCCTCGCTCGGAATTCAGCTCGTTTGGGGCATCGCTCCGGCTGCTCCCTCTCCCGCCGCGCAGGAGCGATGCCTCTCTCTGGCTCTCCCTCCGCGCAGTCTACGGAGACAAAGCGAGAAATGTAAGACTAAATCTAAGTGAATCAATAAGAAAGGAGGATATGATGGTATGTAAATTAGACGGGCAGGTTGAGATGACAGGAGGGGCTGGGATGGATGCGGCTCTGTAGGAGAGAGGGGCAACCCGGGCAGCGGCTGAGAAACCCGCTGCGTCCGCCGGTTTCCACTTATTCTGCCCCGCGTGGGGAAGAAGGCGGGAGGCCTGTGGCAGGAGCTCCGCCCCGAGGGTTGTCTTCTGCTGCGCCGGGTGAGAGGATCCGTCGCTAAGCCGGACACACGCACGCTCTTCTCCGCCCAGAGGTTCGGGAGCGCACGCAGCTCGGGCTCGGCTGAATCTCCCACCAAGCGCCTCCTGCTCGCCGCTGCTCTTGGCTCCAGCCTCCCTCGCTTTGCGCGCCGAGCGGCTCCTCGCCGCCGCCGCCCCGCCTCTCGCCGCCCGACTCGCCCGCCTCCCTCCAGGCATCTCGCGGCACACCAGCCGATGTCTCACGGCACACTCGTGTGCCGCGGAACACCGGTTGGGAAACACTGTATTAGAGGACCCTCCATTTTTTGAGAAATAATGCAGAAAATGCAGACTTTCGCTGAGAGTATGGGCAAGTGGGCATTAACAATGGCACAGTTCTTGTAAGAGGTCAAACTAATAGGATGGAGGAATGATCTCTCAACCAACCTTTGCCAACCTGGTGCCCTCCAGGTATTCTGGACTAAAACTCCCATCAGCCCCAGCAAGCTATGGCAGGATTAATTTTGGGGTGGGGTGGGGATGGAAAATTTAAACCATAGTCTGTGGAGACATCTGCTGGATTAATGGAGCATAGCAATTGTCAGAATAAATTGTGGTCGTGATGGTGACCTAAGATTTTTAAAATGAAAATAATAATAATTTAGGCCTGTGGTATGTTTCCACTCCTTACTTACCTTACTGTATTGTTACCAATATTTAAAATGAAATTGAAACCTGCATTCTGGTGAACATTGACCATCAACTGCCAATACTGTATTATATTGCTGAGCATACAGCAAGATGCCAGAGGCACAAAATTAAAATTCACTTACCGTACTAAAATATCTTCAGTAACCCTGCTGGTGCTCACTAGTTTGATGCCAAACATGATATAATTGCTGTTTGTGGTGGTTTAGGGCCAAATTAGACATTTTGAGGGAAACAATTAAGTTTATGAACTCATTATTTCCTCATAACATGAATACATTACAGGAGCATTTATGGAGCATTTATGGGGAGCAATTGGCAATTTTGGATCCAAATTGGATACAAAATGGCCTGTTTTCCCAAGCAAAATACCCCCCTTTCAATACCTTTGTTCTGTTTCCTCTTAACAGATTTTGCAATCTCCTCTGTACAGAAAAATAATAACCTTGAATCTGGAGTCTAAATCACAAACACACATGCAGGAAGCAGATTCATTTCACATTTGCCGGCCTTTCCAGATTTCCCCCATATCATCAAAGTACAAATTTTAAGGTGTGAAATGGCACTTGGAAAATGAGAACACCATATGGATGTTGTTGTTTAGTCGTTTAGTCGTGTCCGACTCTTCGTGACCTCATGGACCAGAGCACGCCAGGCACTCCTGTCTTCCACTATCTCCCGCAGCTTGGTCAAACTCATGCTGGTAGCTTCGAGAACACTGTCCAACCATGTCGTCCTCTGTTGTCCCCTTCTCCTTGTGCCCTCCATCTTTCCCAACATCAGGGTCTTTTCCAGGGAGTCTTCTCTTCTCATGAAGTGGCCAAAGTATTGGAGCCTCAGCTTCACAATCTGTCCTTCCAGTGAGCACTCAGGGCTGATTTCCTTATGGATACCCCTACTTTAATAGGGGTACAAGGCAGGTTCCAATGCACATTATGCTCCCGTGTGGACAAGCCCATAGCATCATGCTTTGTGTGGCACATGGCCTCTCCCCCATAGTGGAACATTTTCTCAACTGACTTATTATTTCATTAGGAATTTAGGTTTTACAAACTGGTTCCAGATGGGAGTTTATGATGAAATTGGCGCTGCTCATGCATACAATGGTGTGGATTTTTTCCAAGCAGCCACATGACATTATCAAAAGTCCAGGCTGCATTTTTGAAAATCTAATCTGGATGCCCCCTTACTGTGAAAAATCAGTTAAGCAAAAAAAACAATCTGCTCTGTGTCTACCATCACCACTGGGCTTTAGTGTGAATGTGAGGCTGCCTTGAGTCCAACATTTCCGGGCACCGTTCACATGATGTTGCCCTCAACCAAACCCACCCACCTTTTTTGTAGAGTTTATTTGAATTTCCCTATCCTGGGAAACACCGAAAGGAAAGCAAAATCCAGACCTAATCCTCCATTGCTTGGCTGCTAGGCAGGCTGCTGCGGTTTGATTTCTCTTTAGTTAAGGCGATACCAGAAAGATCTATGTGACCTGTGGGAAGTGGGGGTGGGATGCAGAATTTGTGTTTGCTCCCTTGTTTGGAGAGCGAAAGGAAAAGGAGAATGTTCACCTAATGTAAACCTGCTCACACAAAACATGTTTTGAAGAACAGGTTAGGCTCTGTTGCATCATTAGCTCCTGATATGTGCTGGTACTTGCTTTATCATGGTTCATAAAGCTTAAGTCCCATTTGAATGCAGCGTATCATTAGCATGCATAAATCTGTTACCTAACGATACCATACTTGCAAGGTTGTAAATCCCTTGAGTCGTATGATGAATATATTCTGCATAAATTCTCTGCAAGTTGGAGTCAGACCTATAAGTCCATCCAGTTCAGTCTAGTCTGCACATACTGGCAGCACTCCCTATCAGTCCTATCTGCAGATGCCACTGTGGGTTGAACCCGAGACTTTCTGCATGCAAAGCAAGTGGTCTAACCACTGAGCTACAGGGCCAGTCCCATTGAGCTAGAGCCCTTATGCCTGGTCAGGCTGTTGGGCACCTAGGCTGGGGTTGTCTCTGTGGCGTTCGTACAGAGCACCCGGTCGTTTCACAGACTATTGACCTGTACACCATTGCTTTATTCTTCCACTGCCACCAACCAGGTTTCTTCGGCTGAAATACTGAGTCCCAGTCAGGTTGTAAAGTCAACAACGAAGATTGAAGTTTATTGAAGAACAAACAAGTTTTAAATATGTTTAGAATGGTTTCTCAAATGCGAGCCCTTAACTAGATATGGCACTATCTCACACTGTCACACTCTTCTCTCTCAGTTCTATCCCTGTCTCCCACTCTTAACTGTCACAACCGCTATATTCATCTTTTACTCGCTCTGTCTGACTCTGACTCCCCTATCTCCCAATGGTAAAAACCCTGGGCTAAGCCTCACAATCAGGTAGGCACCGCCTCTGAGCTTTCTCATTGGTCAGTCTACATTAACCATTCCCATCCCCCTGTACAAACATAATCACAAGGAATGGGCAAACGCCACATCCTCCTTCAGAGTTACATATCTGACAACGGGCGGAGATGTAGAGGTGGGTCTTTCTTTCCAAGCCCCTCCAACTGTGATGCTTTCTGAACCAGAGAGAGATTGGATCTGGATATCGCTGCAGGCAAGGCCCGTGTGCTGGGCTGCTGGGTTCTGACACTCTGGAAGATGCTGCCATGTCAAGCCAGACTATAGCTCAGCGGCCGAAGATGTGTTATGGAAGGAGAAGGTTCCAGGTGGTGCTGGAGTGAAGTGGCCTCTGGGATGGGATACTTGCAGGCCTCCAGATGTTGCTGAACTACTGGTCCCATCATCCCTGGCCACTGGTCCTTGTGACTGGGGCTGATGGAAGTTGTAGTCCAACAGCATCTAGAGGCCACCATGTTGGTTACGCCTGCTCTAGGGTAGGAAAGATGCAGGGTGAAACTGTTGGCAGCTTTATTCCAGTGGCAGCACACCCACTGCAAAAATTCAAAATATAAGGACAATGTTGTAGGGACTGCCACTGTGGTAGCATTGTTTGGGCTCCCACCCCACAAGTCTGAGACCTTGGACCTAGTGGCAGATACAGGCGATTACCAACAAATTTGAAGGGAGAGGAGTTTGAGCCACGTGTGGATACCAGTTGCAGAGGGCGCCCTCTTTATAGTTCTCCACCAGAACAGCCCATTACAGTCAGCCACTGGACCAGTTTGAATGTACTGCAAAACCATCTTGTGTCTTGCAGTCTTAAAATTACTACACCCAAAATGCACTGCCATGTTTACGCTTTCCAGAATAGCCCAGCTGTTGTGAAACTGGGTAGCACAGCCAGTGGCGTAGCGTGGGTTGTCAGCACCCGGGGCAAGGCAAGTAATTTGCGCCCCCTAACCCGTGGATTTGCGCCCCCTAACCTGTGGATTTGCCCTAACCCCAGATGTTGCGCCCGGTGCGGCCGGCCCCCCCTGCACCCCCACGCTACGCCACTGAGCACAGCAGCTGGTTCCTCAAAGAAGTTGCAAGAGAAACATCTGAAATAACAGGAACATTTTAATGAATATTTAGAACACATGTGGGCAATAGACCAAGGTCTTGTCCACCACGTTTACATTCTATGTCACTACTGCATGAGTTACTATAGCACAGATTATAGTTTAAAGCAGCCTCCCCCAACCTCGTGCAATAACAACCTTGAAAAATACAGAGTTTGGGGTGTGTCCCCCCTCCCCTTTGTTTTCTCTTCTGCACAGGTTCTGTTTCTCTTTCTTTTTCTTGTTTGTGTCTCACCATGTTTGGTGCATGTATACTGTATTTTTCGCTCCACAAGACGCACCTGACCATAAGACGCGCCTAGTTTTTAGAGGAGGAAAGCAAGAAAAAAAATATTCTGATCAAAACAGTGGATGTATGATTTTTGTGGTTCATGCTGTGGCCACAGTCATGTGATTTGATGGTGAGTTTGGGGTAGCCCAATGCAAAAATCCTGAAGATCCATGTGAATCCGTGCTTTGTAACCAGGTTTTTGAGCCATTGCGGCCCCACGCAACAGTGGGTGCGTGATTTTTTGTGAGCAGGCTGTAGCCATGGACATGCTATGTGATCTGATGGTGAATTTGGTGTGACCCAATGCAAAAATCCTGAGGATCCATGGGCTTTTACCTCCGCCCTCTCAGGCAGCCTCCTTTATCTTTTTTTTTTAAAATAATTTTTATTAACCGGCCAATCACATCAAATCAAATCACATCACATAAATTCCGAATTACAAAGCCGAATTTTAAATTTTGTTGAGGGAACCCATATTTCAAGATCCGAAGGGGGATTCTGATCGTCTTCTTGCTACTGCGTTAATGTCCAAATCAGTCCAAACAAAGTTCATAATTCTATCCAGACTTATCTTGCTGTTTCCACATCACATCTTGTTCATATATTTTCTCTTTTTTTCTTTATGATCTCTTCTGATAGTCTCCTTAAGCCAATAAACACCAATAATAATCCTGTGTGAATTTTTCCGTTCTTCCAGTCCTCAAATCGAGATGGTTTCCATATATCATTGCCTTCATAGATAACAGCGCTCTTTCCATCATTAATTACAAAACTGTCGTTCTTAAGTCCCACTGAAGAGTTTCATCCACAATATAAAAACAGCTCTATTTCTCTATTTCTCCTCTCAGACTTAAGTCCTCCGACAGAACTTCCCAATATGGCGACGGTATTTTTAACTGCGTCATTCCAAAGCCCTTATACATTCCACGCTCTTCTTAAAACCTGCTCTGGTTCAAAAGTTTATCTCCACACAGCCTTAAATCCACAGCTTAAGTCCTTAAAACGACATTTCTGACTTGTGGGGGGGGGGATTCTTGTTTAATCACATAAAGGAAAGAAAGGAAGTTTTTTTTTTCCCCTCCCCCATCAGTCCCTTTGCCATACCGAGTCTTGGCGTATCTTCTCATGATCTATACTTGTTCCTCCGACTCGTTTTGTTTTATCAGAGATCTCTTCTGTTAGCAGTCTTTACTCCCCCTTCTTCCTTGAAATATGTGCATTAGCTTCATCCAAATTATTTCTTTTGAAGTTCTTGCAGCTAGTGGTGCGGATCAGAGACTGCATCCAGGAGTGCCGAAATCCCACAGGAGGGCATTGTGCCTAGTGCCCCCACAAATTCGGGGGTGGTATAGGGCACAGCAGGCAAGGGCAGTCCCCCACCATAATCCTGGGGGGGTAGGGAGGCTATTTACTCCCATCACAGCCTCCAATTTACCTCGTGTGGGTCGGAGAGATGTTATTGTCAGCCATCTTCTGATGCGCCCCTAGTGGTCCCTAGGCAGCCTCCTTTATCGTTAACATCCCTATCTCCCTCCCAATCGCTTACCGATCAGCTGCTTCCTTTCAACACTCCCTTCCCTCTTGTTTGCCTTAATGTCTTTTCCTTAGATGGAGCAGTTTTTTGCTCCTCCTTTTATTCTAGTTTCTCTCCTCATTGCTTGAGTCTTCTTGTCTCCTCTCTTTACAAGTTCACTGCCTTTACCTCCCCCCTTCCAGGCAGCCTCCTTTATTGCTAGCGTCCCTTATCTCCCTCACGATCGCTTGCCGAACATTGGCTTTGTTTCAACACCCACTTCCCTCTTTCAAAAAAAGAAGCATGATCTGCTTTTCGGCCCTGGGCAATTCGGCTCCAGGGACCATGCATTCGCTCCATAAGATGCATAGACATTTCCCCTTACTTTTTAGGAAGAAAAAAGTGCATCTTACAGAGTGAAAAATACAGTAGTTATGTACTTTTTGAACTTTCAGTAAAGATGTTACACACGTGCACACACAAAAAAAGATCTGACCTGCAGACTCACTCAAGGTTTTATGGGTTATTCTAGCAGTTGCCTACAGAAATGAAAATATATATTTCTTTTTTCTTCATAGCAGCACCTCAAATTTGAATAATTTAGAAGCAATACAACATGGAGGGGGGATGGCCTGTCATTCTCTTGCCTCTGAGACCATGCATTGCTGAGCTTTGTGATGTCATGGACTATTTTATGCAGTTTGTAATAATTTGGGGAGGGGGAACCTATCACCCGCAGAATTTTGACAGGCAGCACACTTTCCATGTATGAAGGCAAAAGAGCTGGATGCTCTCTGCAGCAGTTTCAGATCCTTTCTGCCTTCGGTGAATCGTCTTTCATGCTTTAGAGAGCAATATGCTTTGTCAATACTTTGTTCCGGTTGCATCTGACAAACCATCACTTAGACCTTTTGAACTGTCTTCCAAACCAGCTGATCTCTTCCAAAACACGCCACAACCTTTAGAAGAAATGATACAGGATAAATCAAGGGAAAATTGGGAGTGAACACATTGCAAGCTTTGAGACTGGAGCCAGAGTCTATGTATAATATTACATTTGAAAACATCCTCATTTGAGGTACACACCTGCATCTAGGAGTCAAGACAATATAAAAAGCCTGAAGTTCTAAAGACCAAAGATCAAGAAGTTCTGTACTCACTAAGGATTTCCATTCTCGGGGTCCTATACTAAAAGGCCTTGATCCCACCTATATCTATAAGTTTGGGCCAGACTACATTCTGCATACAAATGCAGGAGACAGGAACTCAATGACACCTTTTAAACAGGAAAACCAATTTGGGAGAGGGTGACTGGGAAGTAGAGAAAGAGCAGGTGGGGAAAGGGTTAAGCGCACGCCTGACCCTCCCACCTCCTCTCCACACATAGATTGACACAGTTCTAAATCTTATAAATTCCTTATAAAATTGCAGTCAAATATCAACAATTAAGAACCACCATTTCCTCTAGCCAATCAGAGGCTGTCTGCTTGGTTGGGTTGGTTGGTTTTTTAAATAAACCATACACTAGACAAAGAAATACCTAAGTATATTTCTGATCCAATCAACACAAAATTCACTCTTCTTGCTAAGTCATTGCTGAAACAATTAAAAATCAAACCCCATTCAAGAATCTCATTAGGAAATCCTTACCTTTTACAGAAAGACCATGCCGCTCTTGTAGAAGGTTTAATGGATGTAATTTGTTGCAATATGAATCTTGTTACCATACTTAGCAATCCGGGTGTTTTCTGCATTTGTAAGATAGCTGAAGCTACATCCAACGGGGTATGAAAATAATAATAGTAATGGAATTAATGATTTATAGAAAAGAAAAATCAGATTACACACACAAATCTCCACAATGTATTTCCCTAGCAGCAGCTAATAAATGACTGGGAAATCCAATTGTCCAAGTAAGGGGGACATGGCAGAAATATATATAACGATACATTGTGCGAAGACAGTGTATAGCATAATACTAGGACCTGGTGGTACAATATGTTCAATCTGTACTCTTCTGTTTTGGTTTGAAAGAGTTTTACTTGTTTTGATTATTGTGTAAATTGTTTTACTTGCTTTTACAGTCTGTACTATTGCAGTCTGCATCTGGGTTTCTCACCTTTCGGACAATGCAGAGACAGTTGTGGCAATAGTCTGCTGCCTGCTCTATGGACTGTACCATTCTTACAATTAGAGGGCTTGGAGAAGTCTTTAGGAACTGTCCTGATAGGCGTGCTGAGAACGTCCATCTTTGGTTGTTGGCAGGAAGCCGCTTGACCAGCATGGAACAACTCTTTTTTACTGAAGACACCAAGAAATTCAACTGTTTTGGCACGAGAGCAGATTTCAAAAATATCTGACAAGAAATAATCAAAGAAACAATCAAATACGTAACAAGAAATAATCAAATATGCAAAGTAATACAAATGGCATTTTTAAGAACAGAAAAATATCTAAGGGGTTTATAAGCTATATTGGCTATGCCCTTCCCACAAATTGGGTAAAAGTGAGAGCATACTGCTTATGAGACCAACTCTTCTTAAAATGCTAGAAGCAAACTCCAGAGTTACATAGACCTCTTCTCCAGATGTAAGTCTTCAAAAGGAGGGGGAAATAGATGTTGCATAATGAGCAAAATCTGCTGGTTTTGGGGTGGGGTGGGGTGCGCAGAGTTGGTTGGCTGAGATTTTAAGGCACAGATAGTTACTCATAGGTGGCTATTATGCCTCAATCAAGTCCAGTTTGGCCATTCTCATGTAAATGTTACTTCCATTGACAAAGGAGCTTCGAGATAGGCATTTATTTGCTTGCTACTGGTGCAAGCAAGGGGTGTTTGTTTGTTTGTTTGTTTGTTTGTTTGTTTTTGTAGCATCTGCCCAATCAAAATGCCAGCCTGGATCCCCCCACAATTTAATTAGGATTTATGCAGAAAATTATTTATTTCAAATGTGATTCCTTTAAAAAAAAAAACAAAAAAAAACCCACCAAAACCCTCTCCAGCCAAGTAGCTGCCTGCTATAGCTGAACGACCTGTTTGCAATATTAAGCCCCCATCTGGAAGCACCCAAAGATAAGTGTTAAATGCTGTTAAGTCCATAATCGTCTTTCACACTGAAGAAAAAGTTACAGTCCAGAATAAACAGACCAATCTCCTATGTACAGAAGAATAATACCCTTAAATCTGGAGTCTAAATCACACACCAGCTTCAATGTGGGTTTCTCCTAGGCCAAATGAAGAAAGGGGGTTGGGTTTATGGAGTCTGGACAGTGTACTCTTAATTCACTGTGCCTGTGAAAACAGAATAGCGCTGTCCTCACATTACAGCTGTGATTGCGGTATAGAAATCTCTCCAGAAATATATAATGCTGTTTACTTGTGTTCAGAGGCACAACTTTGGGCCAAAGATTGGGGCGGCAGCGATGCAACACATGCGTAATGTCGTGCCTATGACATCACACACACGTCATCAGGAGGAGAGGCGCATTATCAGGAGGAGTCATGTAACATTTTATAAGCCATGTAGCACTTACTATTTCTGTGCAAGAAGAGAATGGCATCCAGATATCCTTGTGAATAAAAGTCATTCAAAACCTAGGAAAAGGCATGCAATGCGTCAAAATAATCTTGGACAATTGGACTGTTCCAGTTGTCAGTGGTGTAAGAGAAGACTGATGTTAAATGTAAGCACTAAATTTATTTAAATTATATTTAAATGTTAAGAAATCTTTATCGTATGTAAGTTGTATTCTTTGAATGTGCCTCATGGTTAATAGTGCTCTTTTGAGTTCATTCCCCACCAGTGAAAAACCCTTTTAAAAAGCAGTGCATCCAAATATGGCAATTAGATCAAAGTCTGGCAATTTGAACACAAAACTTTTCAGATTGTATAAAATAATGCTTGTATTCCAGTGATCCTTTGCTGGCATCCCCTCTCCCTTTCGGTGCTCTTCCCCACCCAATTTTATAAGCCATTTCTTAATTCTACTCCCTCATCTTTCTTGACAGACTGACGGACAACATGATAACCAGACAATTGATGAAACCTACCCGGCAGTTGGGTGGAAATATGGCATAGCTAATTCTGCACAAGTTCTCTATGGATATCTGAATGGTGCAGTTTGCGATATGAAAGCCGTAGAACATTGCTGGGCAGTTCCGAGGGCAGATGTCAGTCTCTCCTGTGAAAGGAGACACGGTGATGGCAGTCTCCAAGTCGGAACAAGGCTGCAAGTTAGTGAAACCTCCATCAACGTACCGCTGCAAGAAAGCAACAGGGATGTTTCAAGATAATTGCGTTAGGCGAATGCAGCACAGCTGAAGCAGAACTAGTACTTTGAAAGTCTGTAACCTGAAGCGTATGTAACCTGAAGCGTAGGAAACCTCAGGTACCACTGTTAGTATTGCAAAACATAGCTTGCATACATAGCTTGCATACATTGCAAAACATAGCTTGCAGGACATTCCACTGTTAGTATTGCAAACATAGCTTGCATACTCTCCAACACACAGGGGATCCAAATTGGGACACTCGTTTTTTTGGTCCCGAGCTCTCGCAGGAGCCAGCTAACTCATGCCAGAGCACTGGGACCAAAAAAAGGGGACATTCTGGGATCTAATCAGAAGCCAGGATGGCTTCTGTACTTCTAGGATGTTCTGCTTAAATCGGGACGGTTGAGCACTATAAGTTTGTGAGTGTATTAGGCAGCATGAAAAGACAGAATAACCAGCCTTCTCTAGGATGGTGCTAAATAAACTCACCACACCTCGGAAGGAGGGAGGGATGAAGCCAGCATAGATTGGGATAAAGCAGCTGCAAACCAATGCCTGTGGGAAGAGAAAGAATATATGTGTGTTGTGGAGGCATTAGATGGATAGAAGCAATTCTATCATATTCTTCATTTAAAGGGACAAGCTGGTGAACTTTAGTGGCTAAGCCAGAAAGTCCTTGAAATTCAAACCTTGATTCTGCTATGAACTCACAAAGTATTTTTATTATTACCTGCCCCTCACCCCATGGTCCCAGGGTGGATCACAACACTTAAAACACTTTAACAATTAAAGCACTTTATTCATTACAGGATATTTATTGAGGGTTACACACCCCCCAATCAAGCAGTATATAAATTTCATGAAATTATTATTTTTTAAAATCCATTTTATTACCTTGATGTTAATTTAAGTATTATTTTAATCTTAATTTCATCCCATAGAAGAGGAACTGTGTAATTACCTGAAATTGCAGTGAAAAATACTATAAAGGGCTTTGAAAAACAAAAACAAAATAAAAAAATGAACTTTTTGTCACCTGGATAAGCTCCTCTTTGGAACTGTACTCAGAAACCACAACATTTTGGCCATCTACCAGACGGGTGAGAGAAACATAAAGCCGCCCTGTGGCCATCTGGTGAGAGTTCTCTGGCAGAATTTGGTGCAGTCTTTTCTGCAGGATACGAACCACACTGCAACCAGGGGCAAGAGGGCCAATTATGGGTTTCCTGGTATCTTGTGCAGCCCTATAGAAAAACCTTTTTACATCATCTGGCAGAGGAGAAAAAACAAGCATTTATTAGAAAATGGCAGACAGGATTATTAGAATCACCTGTTATTAAATTATGCTCTCGGTTGTTTGTAAGAATAGTTATCCCCACATTCCCTCCCATTCTTGCTATCTTGACAAAATGCAGAGCTGGGACCAGGCATCTGCAGATATCACTTCCAGCTCTGCCCTTCTTCTGAACTGTTGAACTTCCAGCTACCTGTTGAATTAACAGGTAGCTGGAAGGGACAATTACTCATGCACATGCCACAGAAGCTAATTTGTCTTCCATGTGGGGAAATGAACAAAAATAATGCAGAGTTCATTTGCAAACCATTATAATGTTCCTTCATGTTCTCCCACAACCAGTATTAAGACATATACTGTCTCTGATACTGGAGGTAACATCTCGCTATAAGTTTGTGGATGCCTTGACTCCCCTAAATTGGTTTAATGGGTGTTGGAGTTTAATCAGTGCTTGGAGTATTAAGCAGTATCAAAAAACAGTTTTTCCATGCGCAAGAAGAGGAGCCATTAGCAGAGAACAAAGACAGGGAGATGGACTGTTAGCAAAGCAAGACTACCAGCAAATGAGGAGAGCTCCTCCCTGAGCTCTGAGATGGTGAACAGAGACAAAAGGAGAGGATTGGATTTAGGATTTGAGTGGGCTGTGACATCATCGAGGGGAAAAGGGGTCAGGCTGTGAACGCGGAAAGCTGAAGAGCAGGGGACTAGCAGTTGTCTCTGAGGCTGCAGCAATGGGAGAAACAGGACTCACTTGGGGTGTAAAGCTGGGAGCCCCTCCATCATACGCTCAGGTTGTATATATGCATAAATAAACCATATATCATAAAGACACAACAGTCTCAGCTGTGCCTCATTCCCAACGAAACACCAACCCTGATTAAGTGCCTGGAACCCCTGAGATCTCACACTGCAGTGGTGTGTAAGAATATATAGGCAACATGACCACTGGTAGCCTTAGCCTCCCTGAATTTGTCTAATCTTAGGGTGGTGATCTGAAAACAGGCCTTTTTCTGTTTTCGCCTGTGCTGTGGAATGCCCTTCCCTCTGCCATACGTGATGAAGCAACCATTAGTTGCCACAGACATCTGGTGATAACTTTCCCTGGCCCATAAGAATGGACCCTGTTTTACATGTTCAAATCCTCTGGATTTCCATTTTATTTGCTTTTCTGTGCTTTTATATTGCTATTATACTGGTTTGAGGGTTTTTTTGTTTTTGTTTGAATAATATATTGTTTGGATCTTTGAGATACTTTTTGAACTATTAAGGCAGTTTATAAATGCTTTTAGATAAGTAAATAAAGAAAATAACGCTTTTATAAATCAACAGTTGTAAATCATTAGCAAGACCATTGTTGCATCTGCCTGAGAGGGAAAATGCCACTTGCAATGCAAATGTTTTTCTGGTAACTGGTAAAAGCATAGAGCAGAGCTTTCCAAGCATTTCAAGTTGGTGACACGCTTTTTGAACATGCATCATTTTCGCGACACAGTAATTCAGTTTTGCATCACTTTTTGACATGGTAATTCAGTTTTACTAGCAAACTGGAGATTAAACGAACCCTTTCCAGTCCCAGGAGGAGCTCAGGGAGCGTTCGTGCAACACACATTGCAGCCTACACACTAATGTGTCACAACGCAGTTTGATATTGTTATCAATCAGCTTACATGCACAATCATAGGCGCTTCTGCATTTCTTTGCCGTAATAGCCACTGAGATGACCAAACTAGTTCAGCTCACATGCTATGTCTGGGAGTTGCTTTAGAAAGATGGAACATGTCGCCAGACAGATTAGATTGATCAAAAATACCTGTGTCCTAAGCATACTGGGATACCCAGGAATTAGAACAGTTAAAGATGTTTGAGTAGATATTAAGGGAGGGTGACTTAACGACTAATGCATAACAAGTTCATGTAGGGTCGTGATTGGCTAAGTCACTGAAATACAGCTAGAAAAGCAAATTCTGAATTTTAAGTTCTGGGAAACATTGACTTTCTTGTGGCCTGGAGTCAAAACTAAGGCTGCCATCTGCACTATACCATTCAAGCAGTAACATACCACTTGAAACTGTCATGACTTCCACCCAACAATCCTGGGAGCTGTAGTTTTTAATGGCTCTGAGAGTTGTTAGGAGACGTGAGGAATTTGGCAAGGGAAGCTTTTCCTACGATGCGTACAAGTATCCAGAAGGAAAAAATATGTGTCTTGCTGGAAGACCTGGGGCATTATTGGCATGGCAGCATAAGTCTGTCCCCGCCCATTCCCTTGGCAATTCCTGTTGGGGTGCCAGCACGTTGTGTAAACCGAAACATGGGAAGCAGCTGTTTATGTAGCAAGGACTGGATTTTATCTATGTTTCATGGGAACTAACAGACATAAATTCATTAAACAAGCAAAGGGGTAAGCTCTGGGAAGCTAGGGGTGCACGTTACAACATTGCAATGTAACTAGGAGCCTTTTTAAACTGAAGAGTGGGTCGAAAATACTTTAAAAAAACTAAATGGGCAGATGCCAATACTCTGCATCCCTGGGTAAATATCAGACCCTCCAAGTGTCCCTATTTTCCAATGGACAGTCCCAGATTTACAGAAGCCACCGTAGCTTCTGATTTGATCCCAGAATGTCCTGCTTTTCCTTAGGATGTCCCTATTTTCATCAGAGAAATGTTGGAGGGCATGGAGTTATGTGACCCCCCCCCCCCGAGCCAAGGAGATAATTAACTATACAACCTTTGAAGACATCTGAAGGCAGCCCTGTATAGGGAAGTTCTTAAATGTTTAATGTTCCGTTATGTTTTTATTTATGTTGGAAGCTGATAAGAGCGGCTGGGGCAACCCAGTCAGATGGACGGGGTATGTAACAAACGACGACGACAACTTTTGTTATTGGATAAGACTTCCCTATTTTTATCGGATAAATGTTGGAGGTTATAAGATATCTTATCACTGGTTTATCAAAGCAGCTTCCTTACCATAAGGGCAACTGAGAGGAAACACACTAAGATCTGAAATGATACCTGAGCACTCACAATTATAGCTTTTTTAAAAAGATTCTTAAAGTATTCAGATACATGCATGCCCCTGAGTAAGAGAACAATATTGCAAAGTTAAAAGCTCTAAGTCAAACAGTTGGACAGATACCCTGGTGCAAATTGATTACAATATATTCTTCAGGGCTATCCAATCTCCCGAGTAGGTGTTCAGAAATCTGCAGTCAGTTAAAGAACATGTTGGGATATCTGTTTAATAAATCATTCTATATCTATTAAAATTGGGTTTTTTCTTGTTGGATATATTTGCATGGGAATCTGAGGTATTATTCCTGTCTTTATATAACAGTGCACTCTCACAGCATTACCTCTGTATGCTGCACTAAAAGAAGAAAGTTTGAGGGCTCAACTTCTCCCCAAGTCCCACCCAAAAAATTTTGCAGTGAATTACCTAGTTAACAGACACAAATGCATATAAGTACATCTAGAACAAGCCAAACCAAATCAAGTGCTTACCCAGATTAAGTTCACACACCACAGCTGCTGCTATGATTGAGCCAGATGATGCTCCATATATTTTTGGCGCAGACCTCAATATTCCAGGCGCAAGTTCCAAGAAGCCCCGGATCACACCTATTTCATAAACAGCAAGAAAACCACTAGCTCCAAAAGAAAAAGACAATGGGGCACCAGACATGCTTAAATCCACTTCAGCCATCTTCAGTAGAACATATCCAGAATTGCCAATCTCTTCTTATGCAAAGCTCCCTTTTTATCTAAACGTCATCAATGCAATCAGGAGAGAATGAGTCACAGGTCTCCCTGCTCAGTACCAGCCCTCATAAAGTGCATTTTTAAAAACTGCTTTTGTTTTGTATCCACAGCCATGTCTCAACTACTTTTCTGGCTAAAAATACTGTTGTGCAGCTATCAAAGTAGCTTTAGAGCAGTGCGGGTATGTCTGTCATCTTCTTTTCTGCATCAGACTGAAGCTCTTGTTTTTGGATAATAAATCCTGCATGTTCTAGTTGTTAGTCTTGCATCAAGTAGCCGGAGCTTGTCTTGCATTTCCTTTGCAGTCTCCACCCCACCCCACCCTCATTTTCCCCCTCTTGGGTCTTCTTCGAGAGTGTTTTTCTAAATTGGATTTTCTCACAATCTCTTCTTAGGAACAGCTCAACACTGAATGAGTAGAGCTTTGTGCAAGGAACTCAGACGCAGTAGCTGTTGTCCAATGGATTACACAGAAGGCAGGGCTAGGTTATCTTTGAAAACTTACTGAATTAACTCTGCACTTTATAATCTTGGAATAATATTGTTATGAGTTTGGTGGGGGCTGGGATAGGCTTCTAATTCCTGGGTCCAGCAAGTGTTAAAATCGAAGCAAGGATTCAAATTACTGAAAGGCTATTGCTTTCGTCTGTTTACCTGCCTGTATGCTAATTGAAAATTGGATAAAAACAGTGCCTCAGTCAGATTAAGCTCATTGGGGCAATCCTGAGTTACCCGTAGTGCAAAGGAAAGGATGAACAGAAAGGCGAGGATCAATGTTTTTATTCAAATTGTCCAGTGGCTTATAGCGTCAAATAGGAAGCCTTTTCCCAGAATTTCCTACAGGTGAGCTGGAGTGTTTCCTTGGCTGCGGACTGTAAGGAGGATGTGGTGACAGTGAGGACATATACCCAAAACCCACAGCAAGCCGCTTTACTATCCCACAGCCCATTTCCTGCAGATGAACTGGAATACAGTGGTACCTTGGGTTACAGACGCTTCAGGTTACAGACTCCGCTAACCCAGAAATAGTACCTCGAGTTAAGAACTTTGCCTCAGGATGAGAACAGAAATCGTGCTTTGGCAGTGCAGTGGCAGCAGGAGGCCCCATTGGCTAAAGTGGTACCTCAGGTTAAGAACAGTTTCAGGTTAAGAATGGACCTCCAGAACGAATTAAGTTCTTAACCACTGTAGTTCCTTAGCTGAGATAACCAGAGTGGCAGGTTCAGTTACTGAAAATCCTCATTCCAAAGAAAGACTTTTTCACTACTATGCTTCTCAATTTAAAATCAATGGATTGTGATGCTCCTACTGGAAAAAGTGCAGGGAGTCATTTATGACGAATTTCTGCTGCCCACTGGAACTAAGAGCTGCAGGGGATAAGGCAATGTCAGGAGCTTTTGCTGGACCTCAGCCCCTCTCACCACCAGATCCAACTCATTTAATGATTGGCTTAATTCATGATGTGACTTGGGCTTGGCATAGTACAAAACTGTGTAATGTTGCATTAAAATTCTTCCACGGTATTACTTACATATACACAGGGTTGTTTTATGAAAAGATTATTTTTCTCAGAATTAAACTGTTTGTTCTAGAACTATGTGGTTTGGTTTAAAAACTGTGAAGCCCTGATACGTCTCTGCTAGTTTCTGTAATATTTCATAAATATTATATCAGGCTTGGGGTTGTATCCAACACAGTGTGAGTGAAGTTCTACTTATGCAGTGGGGCTTCCATTTCATCTCCTCTCTATGCATGCCCACAAAATCTGCTCCAGAGGGTCCCCCAACCCCTCCAAGCTGATTCTGAGGCAGTGCCAGGGGATGCTGAAGAGGACAGGAGTACGAGGGAAATCTGTTGCACGCATGGAGCTACGCCACTGGATGTGGTCAGGAGTATGATATTTTAAGATCTCTCAAAGTTGTCTGATCACAATGGAAACTGGTGCTAAACAAACCAACATTCATCTTTTTTTCCTTTTGCAAATAGCAGGGGCCTAACTCTTAAGGGAGATCACTGCAGGGGCAAAGGTTTAAGAACTCTTGCTCCCACTCCCACAATACCACCTTCCATCTGGCCCAGGGCCCTTCCCCCTGCCCCTCAACCAGTCATTTGTTAAACAAAAAAAGTTATGCATTGCCAAAATACATGATAAAGTGAAATCTTGCTTGACCTTTATTTTCAATGCATATTGACAAGATAAATCACCATGAGGAAAGTATCTAAGACTGATGTCAAAAATCACACCGATCTGTGCAGATGTGCTACCTTCAAGTCCCCTCCCAAGAAGACATATTATGAAAACCCTATTCATGTGTGCTTAAAGTGGATAAGGAATGTGATACACTGTATCTAGCATGATTATATAAAATTATTATTATCATTTTCTCTCCCTGCAACCTACACTTGTTTATATTGCTTACCTTAATAGTATGATTTATAGTATAAGAGTTTGCTGCCTGTAAGACTTGTGACAAAGCAACAAGACTAAAAGCTTTGGGTTCATGGTTCTGGTACTAGGCTTATTTATAAAAATATTTATATAGTGCTATTTCATTTTTAAAAAATCAAAGTGCTTGACAACAATAGTACATAAAACCAGACACTGACCCACTGAAATCAATGGACTTTCCACTTCATTAGATGTATGCATGTACAGTGTGTACATATCTATATCCAACACGCACGCACGTCAAAAGGTAAGGAGAGAAAATTTAAGTTACGAGGTTCCTGGGAAGCAAAGCCCATGCAAAATTGTAGACTGACAAAATACAGCTAGCGAAACCTACAGCCGACCTGCCAGGAAATCCTTAATGATCCACCATGATTTGTATCTCAAAACCCTGAGCTGTGTCACCTCCTCTAGAGCAGGAGCGTGGACTTTAGGCTCGTAGGTTCCCCTTTGCTTCTCCCTAGTGCCCCTAGGCTCGCCAGTGGGAACGAAGTGCCAAACAGCGGCTCAGAAAGTGGGAAGCGAAGGGCTCCTGCAAGGCACACATTGCCGCTGTCTTCAGTCCCAGAACTGGAGCTCGCACACAAAAACCTGTTCCTGTTTGTCCTCCTCCACCCGGTCTTCCTAATCTCGGCAGCCAAAATTAAGAAGGGAAGGAGAGGACTGCCGCGCACGACAATCTACCCGGGGGTCACTCAAGAGATCCATCTACGAGTATCCCGATCTACTTTCTGCCTGCCCTACTATAATCTAAATTTATACAGCTACTTGAATTTCCCGTTGCCAATGGCGGAGTGGAGGGCAGGTATTTTAATTACCGGCTCTTTATTTAAAGCTCTGGAGAGCCTTGACTGCAAAAGCCAGTGAGCGCAAAAACCCAGCCTGTTCCGTACAGAAACTCCACTCGCCCCGAGCCCCACCTCCCTCCTTCCCCCCGTCCCCAAATGGCCGCGGCTGGCGAAGTCACGCGGTTAAACCAGGCGCGCGTCTCGCGAGACTTCCTGGGCTAGTTCTGGCGGAAACGGAAGGAGGCGTGTCCTTTCCCTCTACGAGCGAGACGGCAAGATGAGGTGGGTCTGGGTTCTGTTTCGGGCCTTTGGGTTATCCGTCGCCATCCGCGCTTTCAGGGCTGTGTCCGAAGGGCCGCCATGAGGCGGAGGTGGAAGGTGCTTCAGCGGGGCGAATATCGAGGAGGATGGGCTCTGGCACGAGAGGCGTTCGCGTAGGATAGGCTCGCAGGGATTCATGGCTGCCTTCGACGTGGCACCGTTCCGGCTCCTGTCAGAAAGTTAGAAGGGTTGTTTTTAGAGCCCGTAGCTACTCCTACAGGCTGTCAGATCCAGGCAACACAGGGAGTCTCGACCTCTGAAATGCCCTGAGGCTGAGGGTTGTAGGGCCGGCTTCCCTTCCAGGGCCTCGATGTTGGAAAGAGAGCCCTTCCTGCCAGAGTCCCTGAAAAAGGCCTGAGTCCGATGCGCTAACTTTTATTCCCCAAACCCTGGAGAAGGGGTGCGGAATGTGTATAGACACACACATTGTAATACCAGCATGTGTTGTAATATGGGGCACATGTGGTGTCACATGTTCACATTCACTTAGGAGAAGGGGAATAATAAACCCCAACGTCACATAAACGCATAGAGTACATGGATATGCACGTGTACAACATAGGGTGTGGACTTTCGGGGAAAAGGTTTTCTTATGCCGGTTACCCTAATTTGTGTATCTTGTGATGTTCAGGAGTGATCTAGTTTAGCAGGTTTATTTGAATTGTATTTCAGCAAATGAAACTAGTTTTTTAAGAGGCTTCATTATTAGCAACTGGGAGGAATGTACAAATTTGCGAAGCCATTTATGAATCCACTCATGAATATACAAAATCGCCTTTTTCTGAAAATATTCTGCCCCCAATAACTTGCTTTTGTCACTTGTTGCCTTCTGCATTTAGTCATTGCTGCTGGCACCCATTTCTGGCCAGGGAGTATGTGTGCCAGGTCCAAATGTCACATTAGTCCTAAAGTCCTAAAAGTCAAACCTATGTCAAGAGTGCATACTGATTTACACATTCTTTTTCATTTCCCTTTCAACTGTTGGTAGAACAGTTGGTGCATTACAGTAACAGTAGTATGCACCCATACCACCATTCACATGTTTAAAACTTGCTCTGGATTAGGCTGGGCCTGTATGTGGCCCAGCAGTTTTTGATAGGAAATGTTAGGGATGTGAGATTAAAGGAAGTGCTACATCAGAAAGGCAAATGTAACTCTTTCTTTCTTGAGTATAAACCAGTCCTAAAGCTTGATATGAACCCCAACTCTGCAGCCTACTGGTTGAGAAAATTATACAGTACTTCCAAATACTTTGCCATTTCTGTCTTTATGGCAGCCAGGAGGGGGAGGGGATCATGCCTCAAGTGAAAATGGTAAAGTTACTGAAGTCTGTTCTTAGTCTTGGCACAGCTTTGAATACTTAGGTATTCAAGTCCTCTTATTCGTAATGTGTTAGCTACCCTCTGTTTGTGGTTCAAGTGATTAAGTCTATGGGTTTATTAACTGGGAACACCTTGTTTCAAGTAATTTCTGCTTTGCCAGACTCGATGATTCAGGCAACATTTCCTGTGTCCAACTTAGGCTAATGAGTGGCAAAATCTAGAATAGAACTAAGTGATTATTGCAGATAGGTTGATATTAAACAGTGAGCATGCCAGAATGGGCACCCCCAAATTTCACAATTGCTGGGGAAAATGGTTTTCGAATTAACTCCCCTCTATGAGCAGCGGTCAGGGTGATGGGAGTTGTGGTCCAACATCTAGATCAGGGGTTGGCAACTTGCGGCCCATGGGCCGGATGTGGCCCATGACCATTTTACCGGTCCACAAGCCGCCACCCACTGGGTGAGTCCCGTCCCCCCCCCCCGCACTGTGCTAAACAGGTGCAGCACGGGGACCGAGCACACCGAGCAGCGCCAGTAATCACTTCTGTGCAGGCGCGATTTCTGGCGTTTCACCAGCCCAGTCCACAGGCAATCTCCGCAGGAGTGATCCAGCCCATGGCTGGTAGGCCTTGCCGACCCCTGATCTATTCTAGATGGCCACAGGTTTCCTATTGCCCTAGCCTAAATAAGCATGTGCAACATGGTTATTTTTTTTCTTTATTCTGCAGCAAAGTCTCCCGTGACACGCTCTACGAAGCCGTGAAGGAAGTCCTTCAAGGGAGTCAGGCGAAGACACGCAAGTAAGAAGTTTGCTGCACCTTCTTGTTCTGTGCACCACATCAAAAATACTTCTGTCTCTGAGAGCCCAAGCAAGAAAGTGGAGATTTAAAAAGAACTTAGGTTGCAGAGGTTGCATTCTGGCGCGCGCCCCTCCTTTCTTCTCAGCAGTAAATCCACAACTTGTATGGTTATGCAGAGGGGTCGCATTGAAATTCATGGGCCTAAGTTAGCCATGTTTCCAAACTAGGGAACATAGCGGGATGCTTTCTGTGCCTTTGGCAGAGAGGGCAATGCAGCGTTTAGCAGAAAGCTTGTACAATAGTCCTTTATTCCCTTTCTGTTAACTGAGGAGTGAAAATATGACCCGAGAGCATGTGGCTGGGCAGCGCTGCAGCTGCTAGCATTTGGTTGGCAACATTGTTGAATCTTGTTTGCATTAAAACTGGAAGGTGCTTCCCAGTGTCTTCTTGACAGTGTGAATAGAAGCTTGCAGCTGTCCAAGCACATCAGTTATCCACTTTTCCTTTGTGAATCAAGGGGGAAGACACTTGCATAGCATGGAGTGGGCATTTGGGTAGCTGTTGAAATTTAGGGGAAGCAACACAAGCTGCTCCCTCAAGGAACAACTGCGGCAACTTTGCCTAGAAATTGAGAAGGAGGGATTGGTGATGCATAACAGGATGATCATCCATCCCTTGGGACTCTATAATCAGTTACAGAAGTTGTATTTGTTAAATTTATAAGGACTAGAAACATTTGTTTATTTTGTATGTGTTCATGCGTATCAGTGGACCATACTATCAACAGCCACTCTTTAAATTTCTGTGGTTTGCACTGTCTTAGTTTTTGTTTGTTTTGTTTTTGTAAATAATTGTAAACTACACTTTCATAAGTACTATCATAAGGTAGTGTAGAACATGAAACAAAATGTTGCAATAATAACATCAATAATGGCATGCCTAGAAAATTGTTTTAAAAAAAGTTTCACAGGCCTGATTAAAGTGTACAGTTTTTAAAAGATTCCTGGCTCATGCACCTTCCAAGAGCAGTAGATTATTCCTTGGGTGGGGGCAAAAGAGAATAGGATTGCTATCTTTGTTTTTTCCCCTGGCAGGAAAATGCAACTAAAAACATACCCTGATGCTATATCTGTACTGCTGGGTGAATCCAGGAGCAAGAATAAACAGTGCTGAATAATTGAGTAATCAACATGACATCGTTTTACAGGAGCTTCTTGGTGTTAGATACATGTGGTTGAGCTGCAGAAATTAGGAGAACATGAGTATCTTGCCCACCCACTTCTCAAATAGTACTTGGGTGTACAGCTTAATTCATCTGTTGCCTAACTGGTTTCTTTTCCTATTTCTTTAGGTTCTTGGAGACTGTGGAGTTGCAGATCAGTCTGAAAAACTATGACCCACAAAAGGACAAGCGTTTTTCTGGCACTGTCAGGTTTGGCACTGTTCCTGTACCACCCAGCCTTCAGCCTGCACCCCTCTCCCTGTTACTTCAAGGCTCTTAATTCAGCCTACCTACCCTGCAGCATGTTGACTGAAAAGTACATGGCAGCTGGGTGCAATGCTGAATTGCCCGGGTAGTTCAGATCCCCCTGCTGCAAAGTGGGTGTGGCTGGACGGACCCCTACCCTGGGTCTTAAAACATGAGGGAAGGTGTGGTGAAGCTCTTCTGCTGATCCCACCGATCACTTTATGAAGCCAGATTAGACGCTGGTGGACGAAGACGTTCTAGCTGGCTGCGGTAAGGCTTTTCAGCCATTGTGCAGTACATCCCTTTAGCGTTTCCTATCACTGGCAGTTGTGAGGTGGCTAACGGTGATGCTTCCTTTTCCTCTTCTACCAGGCTCAAGTCTGCTCCACGGCCTAAATTCTCAATCTGTGTATTGGGGGACCAGCAGCACTGTGATGAGGCCAAAGCTGTTGACATCCCTCACATGGACATAGAGGCTCTGAAGAAACTTAATAAGAACAAGAAGCTTGTAAAGAAACTAGGTGAGCAAAATTGGAAAAGGGCTTCTGAAGCACCAAGGATATTGTACAACATCAGCAAATAAGAATTAGCATGTAGGACATAGCTGTCAACATTTCCCTTTTTTAAGGGAAATTCCCTTATTCCGAATAGGATTCCTCACAAGAAAAGGGAAAAGTTGACAGCTATGATGTAGGAGTAGCTAAATATAAGGCAGGGTTAAGATATCCTTGGTCTTTCAAGCAGAAAATGCCTTAATTGCACCTAGGTAAAAACCTTCCCCCACCTATCATAGAATCATATAGAGTTGGAAGGTACCCCAAGGATCATCTAGTCCAACCCTCTGCAGTGCAGGAATATGCAGCTGTCCCCTATGGGGATCAACCCTGCAACCTTGGCATTATCAGTGCTATGCTCTAACGCCAACTGAACTATCTGCATAATCTGCTCCAGGTGGTTGGGAGAATTGTGGGACAGAATTTGGAATTGTGCTGGGTAAGGAGAGGATTGGGATGCGGGTGGCGCTGTGGGTAAAACCTCAGCGCCTAGGACTTGCCGATCACATAGTCGGCGGTTCGAATCCCCGCGGCGGGGTGAGCTCCCATCGATCGGTCCCAGCTCCTGCCCACCTAGCAGTTCGAAAGCACCCTTAAGTGCAAGTAGATAAATAGGTACTGCTTTATGGCGGGAAGGTAAACGGCGTTTCCGTGTGCTGCGCTGGTGCAGGCTTGCCAGAGCAGCTTCATCACGCTGGCCACGTGACCCGGAAGTGTCCTCAGGCAGCGCTGGCCCCCGGCCTCTTTAAGCGAGATGGGCGCGCAACCCCAGAGTCGGTCATGACTGGCCCGTACGGGCAGGGGTACCTTTACCTTTTTAAGGAGAAGATGCTGAAATCTCACGCGAACAAAAATCTGCCAAGCAACATTGGATTTTTTTGTTTGGTAGTGCTCACTGTCAAAAGTGGGGAAACGTTGATAAGAGTGGGAGAAACAAACCATGATCACTGTCTCCCACATAACGTTAAAGCCAGCCAGCCACTCTGCCTTGTTTTCCTAGAAAAGGAGGAGCAAAGCTGAGATAGTTCAAGCTCTGTGCACCAGCACACAGCTCGTAACACACATGCCAACTTGCCTGACCACAGTTTGCAGCTAGCATTATGTGCAGACATGGCTGCTATGTTGGGGGAACTTGTGATTTCTGAGCATCTTATCTAACTGGTGCAGCAAGAATGCTCAGAAGTCTTGTTGTGCAAACAAAACTCCTTACATAAGCCTTTGGATTGAAGGCTTTGTTTTCATGATCTGCAAATTAAATTTTGTCATACATTTGAAAATGAACTAAAGAATATGGAACCCAAACTGCTTCTCTTGGGATCCTGTTGGATATGGTTAGGTTAGTTCTCGTTTTCATTTCAGGTTTTATTTAACCTCTGGTTTGAATTTCCCTTAAAAAGTAGGTGTATACAAGGAAAGTATCTCATTGGTGATTTGAAGATGTCTGCTTTGCATGCTTTTGAGGTGAGCCTCAGGTGGTCTTGATGGCATATGCTCATTCTCCTGTTTTTTTACAGCCAAGAAGTATGATGCTTTCTTGGCCTCCGAGTCCCTGATCAAGCAGATTCCTCGAATCCTGGGGCCAGGACTGAACAAAGCTGGCAAGTTTCCTTCTCTCCTCACTCACAATGAGAACATGGTGGCAAAGATTGATGAGGTCAAATCCACAATAAAGTTTCAAATGAAAAAGGTAATTTTCTTTAATTGCACAAATATTTCCATTTTCTGATGTAGTACTGAAGGTAAAGAACTTGATAGTCGTCTTTACTTGACTGAATTTGGTTGCATTTCCCTGGGTAAGGTTTATTTACAGATACACAAATCTGGCTTATGAATGGCTGAATTTAGAGTACTATTGTACTCCTCCTATTAGGCCCACAAAAAGTCTGTTAATATCCCTTCAAAAATCCACAATACAGAAGGAGACCTCTTCCAGCTCAGTTCTTCCAGCTGATTGCACTGGCTCAGTCTCTCTTGTTGTTAATTAGATTTATATACCACCCTTCTCTCAAAATAGCATCCTTCCTTAAAGTGGTGAAAAATAACTTCTCTCTGTCATCAAATTCAGTGGTAGCTGATGCAGGTTCCTTTTCCTGCTTAGTGGGGCAGGTGATTAGTGGTAGTTTTGCCTTTTGTGAGCTTATTCTGCTCTTTTAGATGTAGCAACCATTTTGTGTTGTGTTATGCCCTTGTGGCAGCCATTTTGTGACTGGCCCACAGTGTTCTCTAGAGTTTATTCCCTAGTAACTATTTAGGAATTCATCCTGTGTGAGCCATTGCAGTTTGCTATGTAACAGAACAGGATAAGTACAGTGGTACCTTGGTTCTCGACTTAACCCGTTACGGGAGTCTGTTCGACCCCCGAAACGGTTCGAAAACCAAGGCACGGCTTCTGTTTGGCTGCACAAGCTTCCTGCATTCAATCGGAAGCCGCACCCGGATGTTCAGGTTCCGAAAAACATTCGCAAACCAGAACACTCACTTCCGGGTTTGCGGAGTTCGGAAGCCAATTTGTTCAGGAGCCAAGCCATTTTAGTACCAAGGTACCACTGTATTGGGACAACCCATCCCCCCCCCCCAATTATTCTGCTCACTTGGGTGAGGCCTTGCTGTAAGACTTGTGACATTTGGGATAACAACTTGAATGGATTTTTTGTATGCTTGTGTTTTCCCAAACCCCAACCGCTTTTATCTTATTGAGACAACTGAATGAGTAAATACTTTACTGTGTCCTCTCAGGTGCTCTGTCTGGCTGTGGCTGTTGGGCATGTGAAGATGACTGAGGATGAGTTAGTCTACAACATTCATCTGGCCATCAACTTCTTGGTCTCTTTGCTGAAGAAAAATTGGCAGAATGTGCGGGCCTTGTACATCAAGAGTACCATGGGGAAACCCCAGCGCCTTTACTGATGAAAATATAATTATTTTTGACTACCTTAACATGTGTGGATTTTGGCTTTATAAAAGTCCTAGTACCTAGAAGCTCTGAATACTTGTCGTTTTCTGTTAAGCAGAGATTCCCCTGCATGGTAACAGTGTTGGGAATGCACAGAACACTTGAAAAGGCCAAGGACTGGTAGCACACAGGTCCTTTCCAGCATGAAAAATGTCAAGGGGTTTGGAGATAGAGCAATTGTTACTTATTTGATTTATATACTGCCCTTACAAGATCTCAGGGTGGCTCACAGGATAAAATGCAATGTAAAAGCACAAATAGTTAAAACTAAAACAACAAAATAAGGAACCCCCCCCCCAAAAAAATACCACATTTAAAAGGCTGTAGAATGTTAATCAGCTAAATGCTTGATAGAAGAGGAACATTTTGTCTGGCACCTAAAGATACACAATGAAGGCACCAGACAAACCTCCCTGGGGATAGCGTTTCAAGAAGCTGCTGCATAGAAGGCCCATTCTTGGGTTGCCACCCTCCATGCCTCTTTACTGTGGAGGAGGCACACAAAGAAGGACCTTGGATGATGAATGCAGGGCCTGGGTCGATTCATATGGGTGGAGGTGGTCCTTGAGGTATTTAGGTTCTGTGCCATTGGGAGGCTGAGGGTGGGAAAGGAAGCTGCCCTATACAGAGTCAGACGAGAATAGCCCATCTAGCTCAGTAATATATTTACTGATTGGCAGTGGCGCCAGGATTTCAGAGGATGGAGAATGTTCTCCTTTCAAGAAGAGCAAAGATGGGGATAGGATGTCCTATAGTTTGTTACTTCCCAGTAGCCAAACTCACCTGAGCTGCTGAAGGCACCCAATTTTGTGGGCTGAAGCTTTTCTTAATGTGCCACTGTCTCCACCTCACTATGGAGCACAGAGTACCATATTTTTCTGTCTATAAGATGCCCCCTATTTTGGGGGACTCAGATAATGGGGGGAGATGGCCCAGTGTATAAGACCCTCTAATTTTTTGACATTTTTAAAGGCAAAAACCTAGTCTTATACTTGGAAAAACTTAGTTTCATCTTGCCATGATCAGTATGATATACTTACAACTTACTCCTAAAATTTGGTTTCCAGATTCCTAATCTTCTTGGTTGCTTTCATCTGGACACACTCCAATTGCTCAGTGTCCTTAAAATGTTTCCAGAAGAGGACATGCAGCCTGACCAGTGCAGAATAGAATGGAAATAGTATACTAGTGATCTGGACAGTAGGTGATAACCAGCTAAGTTATACTCGTGAGTAGACCCATTGAAATAAACTTACTTATTAATGGGTCTACTCTTTTAACTTTGAATATTTTATTTACAGTATTTTTAGCCTGCTCTTCATTTGAGTATTTTCAGTTTCAGAACGGAACAAAGTAATAATAATTACTTTGATACAAAAAATACAAAATCATACTGACTGGTCCAATAAACTAATTAACCTTCTGTCATAAGATAAACAAAAAATAAAATCCATACTCTTTCTAAATAGGTAAAAAGCAAATTCAGGACATTCAAATATGAAGCAACCAGCGGGCTTGGCAACAGTTCCAGCCTCATTTTTCACTTAGGGCAGCCCGCTGTGTGTCAGCAGCCTCTCATTGTGGCTTTGGAGCAACTTAACACCTTTTACTTTGTAGAAGAAAAAATAGTCTTCAGAATCAGTTTAGGGTTTAAAACTGGCAAGATCTCTGCAAAGAAATACTGCTTTGCAGAGTTACAATGACCCAGCAAGATATTTGTCCGCTAATCGGAAAGCACTCTGGCCTAGGCAGAGATTTACACAAATTTGTAGTACAGTGCAGTCACATTGCAAAAAAAAAAATCAAATTTGTAGTAGAATGGGTGGGGGTGTTTCCTGCTCCAAGGGTTCTGTGTATACATGAAAATTGTGTATATTTGGCCTCTGTGCCCAGTGGGCCTTGCTTTATGTGGCTTGGGGTTATTTGCTCAAAGTCCTGACATATGTACAGTGCCTACATCCATGCTATGGAACAGATGGTACAGTAATGCAAAAATAAAAGCGTTTAGCAGACCTCAGCAAGACACTGAAAATCTGATGGGTGTTTGGGGAATGCAGCTTCTACAAATTAATAAAATTACTGTCGTAACTACATCCATAACTTTTAAATAACAGAGATTTGACGATATCAAATCTTAGTCATTTCTTTTATAAAATACTGTGAATATATTTCACAAAGCCGTCAAGTTTTTCTTAGAATTCAAACTGGAATTTGCAGATAGAAATACGAGCTCAATGCACCTTTGTAGTTTGTGTTCAGATTCAAAGAATAAGTGAGACGACTCGTAGTTTTCAATAACTTAAGTCTATGGAGTCAAGAGGTCTGTTGCCAAATTAGATTTCAAGTACAGGCTGGCAGAAACCTACACTGCGTTTTATCATCTATGGCTTCAGTTAGAATTGTTGCGGAGTACAACCTAGTTTAAGTATCAACACAGCATGGAAATCTCTTCCATCACCTTAAATAGGGTACCTATGAGGAAAGCTTACACACTTTGGAGGTTTCAGTTAATACTATTTTGTCATTTTGGATTAAAGAATTAGTCATATTTCATATAATCTGGCACCATATAGAATGGGAAATGGAAGATTTATAATGTTTTGTTTTCCAGTACTGAAACAAAATCAAGAACAGATTCATCCTTCAACTGGGAAAGAAGCTTGGGATAATATGCTGAAATTTAATAATCTGTTTTCAAATAGCATCCAGGAAGTTCACCAGCAAATGACAATTTTTGCATTGAATGATGTCAAAACAAAAAATTACAGTAGCTCATATCCATGTACTTGAAACTGACCCAAAATGCAAATCATATTCAGTTGTGTAATTAGGGTGTTCAGTTTCATCTTGTCTTAATTTTATCCTAATTGTATGGCAGTCTTGTTATGGCTGAACAAAAATAACATAAGAGCCTGCTGGATCAGGGCAATGGCACACCTAGTCCAGCATCCTGTTTTCATAGAGGCCACCCAGGTACCTGTGGGAAAACCACAAGCAGGATTCAAGCACAAGAGCCCTCTCCCCTCCTGTGGTTTTCAGCAACGCATTCAGAAGCATGGCTGCAACTGAAGCCAGAGCATATAGCCACCATGGCTAGCAGCCAGCAATATCCCTCTCCATCAATTTGTCTAATCCTCTTAAGAGTTATCCAAGTTGCTGGCCTTTACTGCCTCCTGCGGGAGCAAGTTCCATAACAATGCACTGTGTGGAAAAGCACTTCCTTTTATCTGTTCTGAATCTTCCAACATTCAGCTTCATTGGATGCCCTCGAGTCTAGTGTTACGAGAGAGGAAAAACCTCAGTTGCATACATTTCAATTATATATTTATTGCCGTACCTACATGTAGAAATAAATTTGGGGAGCTGTGCCAATAGGGAAGGTGCAGAATCTGGAGAAACGTCCTATTTCTTATTTGAGTAATGTCAAAACTCTGCACGTTCCATGGGTGCTTGCTTTGCAGGCATAAAAGGGAGTAAGATGCAGAAGTTTCAGGGCGACCCAGCAGCCCTGTTTGCTGAGCTTCTTCAGCAGGGCACCTTCACATCTGATTTGACATGGTCTTGAGTGTGTGACATTAAGGAGCCGGTGAAGCTCCTTTCTGGCCAGTCAAACAATCTCTGCTTATCCTTATGCACAGGCATCACTGTAGCTTAAGTCTGATCAAAAGCAACAAAGCTGCTTTGAGAATGGATGGGGGAGGGATGAGGTTAGTTGGCAAGAGCAGCTATGTTGTGGATTAGTTCAGTGCTGGAGGTGGAGGGGTGGAAATTAGCCAGAAAGCAAGGCTGCCCTTAGCCACTTGGTTGCCTGAGGAAACAGGAGTTGACGGGGTCAAAACTAGCTTGCTAGCTACGTAAAATGTGATGCTTGCAATTCAGTTTTTAGCAATTCTGTACTGAAAATAATTTAAACTTTTCTCTTAAAAAGCTGGCCATTTAATTGGGCACATTTTAAACTGGTTTATCTTAACTGAATTGATTAGTCAGTCAGCCACACACTCGTTCTACAGTTCAGTGATGGAATGTCAAATTCTGGATGCAACTTCCGTTGAGGCTTCATCATTACTTAGATAAACCCTGACTGGGCTTACCACGGACCCAGCTGCAGTTTAAATGTCTTGAATTCTGCTGATGCAATTTCTGAAATGATACTCTTTCTGGAGGCAACAGTAGACTTCTGGGTCCTCCCAGTTAGGTTAGTATCTGAGAGACTTGCAGTTCTTGCACATTTGTTCTCCAACTGCAGTATGGCATTGGGGCAGGATTTTGCAGAAATCCAGGGTCCCACTTAGCAGAATGAACAGGAGGGCCCCAAACACAGCAGTGCTGGCTGACTGCATTTGGTAGTAAGTTTACCCAGGAGGGAACCACTCCCTTTCCAAGCTGAGACACTGGAACTGAGACAGTCTCCTTGTCAGTCTGTAAGCTGCTCTAACATATGGCTAGAAAGAGCTGAAACCATGACAAGCATGCAGTGTTTACAAGGCGGCAGCCATCCGGCTTATAAACAAGGGGCTTCTCCAGCGAGCAGCAGCAGCAGCAGCAAAAGTGCATTCCAAAGACTGCAAGCTTGGCAAGAGGAAGTCTGCTTTGAAGGAGGAGAAGCACTGCAGCCTGGTCTTCCTTAGCGGGTGGTTTTGCTTAGGGGCAGACTGTCCCTGTCTCTGTCCAGCTTAGGCTCTTGCACTGCATTCATCAACGTAGGTGGAGCACCCTCTTCAAAGGGATTTCCTTCGCTGCTCATGCTCAGACTTTGCGGCTCAGCACTTGACAGTCCTTACATCCCTGTGTCCAGGTAGGTCCGTTGTCCTTATATATTTGCTGCACAGGCAGGGGAACGAGCACAAAGGGGGAAAGGGTCAGAGAGCACTTGTGGCCATTTCCTGGCAGGGCTGCACACACCCAATCTGCCAGTGTCCCAGATCCCTTAATTTAACAGTAGAGCATGTGCTTAAGTGAGCTTTGAAATGAGATGTGGGAGAGAAGAAATTAAAAAAAGCATTACTCTGTCGAAAGGGCATGATGCAGTATTAATGAAAATATCCTTGCCCAGGCTGGTGCCCTCTGGATGTTTTGACCAAACCTGTCATTCCCCAGACAGTGTGGCTGCTTTCAGACACTTTAGTAGACCTGAATGTGATCTAGGAGGCCAGCTGAGTGAGCCCAGACACATCCAGCTGTCTAGAAGATAAATTCCTAAACAAGAAAAACAATGGAGTGGATCAGGGTTGGGGGGAACTTGTGATGCTCCAGATGTTGCTGGAATCCAGTTCCCATCATCCCTGACCATTGCCATGTTGACTGAGGCTGATGGGAGTTGGACTCCAACAGCACTGAGTGAGGGTGGGGGGAACAGATCTCTCTGTGTTATAGTTGTGGAAATGAGAAGAATGAATTTCCAAGGATAGCTTTTGTCTAACTTGGATATCTGACATCTTTTACCCTCTAAACCAGGACTGGATGTCAAATATATGTTGCCCTGCTCTCATGCTTTATTTTCCTACTATTTCTTATGTGCTCTAATGGTTTACACACCTCTCTCATTTTAATTATTGTGTTTATCTTATGTAGTATTGCTTTAAGTTGTACAGCACATTGGGGACCATGCAGTCGAATTATTGTAAATAATAAGCCTCCGCTCCCACCTCTCCTGAAGTCTCAGCATGTGGCCCTTAAGAGTAGATTCCCATGGCCAAATCCAGCCAGCTTTGCAAAAGAAAAAGAAAGAAAAGCACCTGTTAAGTTTGTGGAGAATAACAATATCAATGCAGCCTGTGTCCATCTGTTTTAGAGGTGGGGAGCCAACACATTGAACATGTTTACTAGTATACAGGGAGATACCTGTTTTGAAGCGAACAATCTGATGGTGGAAATGACAGATATTTGACTTCCTACTTATCCCTTCTCTGTTGTCTTATAAGTTTGGAAGCTTTAATGTTTGATGTGACTAAGGATCCTGAGATGGAAAAGAGCTAAAAGCGTTAAGTCAAGCAATCCCTTCCTGCTTACTGCTTTGGTCTTGGACTCCCAGCTCTGTGCCCTTGGCCTGGATTAGAGTTGCTTTCTGTGGGAAAAGCTTTGGAGCAGGAGCTCCCAATAGCACCTGTGTTTTGCAGAGGTCATAAAGAGGCTGTGAGAAGAGATCCATCATAGGCAGGTGCTCTCAGGGGAGAAGAATGTCCCACTGGGCATGGCGGTGAAGGCGCTGGTGCAACAGCAGCGGCCGTGAATCCCCCTCCATCGCTTTCTCCCTTTCTCTCTCTCACCTTCCTGACAGCTGCTGCTTTAAAGCCAACTTGGGATCTCCAAAAGGAAGAAAGAAGGGCCCCAAGGTGAGATGAGGCAACAGCTCTCCCTCTTTGCACACATAGAATTGTTGTTAGAACAGTAGTCTCGAAAAGAGTCAAAACTGTTTGTAGTGACCCCGGAGACTGGCTCCAACCAAAAAATCTTTCACAAAACGCTGAGGCATGTATATTTCATGAGTGTGTTTATATGGTGGATTAGTTGCAGTGCGTAATTGCTCTTATATGGCCGCTCTGTTGGTGAATGCATGGCTGAGAGAGGCTTTTATGAAACCCAGCTCTGTCTAGGCATTCAGCCCTGCTGGTTTCCATTACATATTAGTAGTACATCTTGTGTGGGGGATACGTGTTTGACTGTATATGTCATAGGTACAGCTCTGATTGTACATTCGCTTTATTATCTATGGTCTGGGGGCAGGGAGAGGATTAAGATGTTATTTGGCTCTATTCCCTTGTATTTTATGAGCTATTAAAATATGCAGTTTTAAGGAAGTGTGAAATGAGAATAACAATGAACGTGTGAGGGTGGAATCCTCCTTTACGAACCAAGATAAAACTTCCACCACAAGGCAGCCTTGTTGCCTCTCAACTGTGATATGTACTTATTGGCCATCTCTATTGGACATTCTATTTTTCATCTTCCAGTCTCTGTCTTTTTTACCTAGGCATTCTTTCATGTGTTTTCTGCGTTTATCCGTAAGGTCAGACTTTTCACAAAACCCTCAGAGCTTAAAGGCTGTTGCAATGTTTCTCTCACATTCACAAACCTCCCAAAGTGTGTGCGTGGGGCAGCTATTATGGTGAGCAATTTGTAGCAGCCTTCCATGCAATGGCAATTTTGGGTGTATAAGCCCTCAAAGCTTGTCTACACACCAGCACTGAACTGAATTTGATTTACCTGACAGCTAGTCTTCAGTGTCTGCTACACTGAATACATGTGACCATCAGTGTACGGGTGCTACTATATCTAATATTTGATCAATTTACATTCCACCACTTGGAAGAGTATAGCAATCATATACACCTGCTTTTCATGATCACGATTTTTTTTCTGTGTACTTCCTTGTCTCTTCTAATATGTTTCCTCACTTCTCCTGTTTACTGCAAAACTACATGTTAATGCACCCAACTAAACTGTTTGTTTTTCACCTGCTTTGCAGTATTTTGTTGTTGCTGGGTGGGTGGGACTTGCACAACTACAGATTTGTTGCCCATCCATAAGACCAGAAAAAAACCAATGGCTTTTATTTAGAACAACTCCTGGAATGAGCGTTCTTCGGACGTACTTGAGACTGAAATATTAAGCCTCCCCAGCAGATGGCCTGCTTTCTCCATCCTGGAACAAATTTCCACACCTCCTGGATTACAGCAGATAGTTACTTAACAGTAGCAGCCTGGAGACTGCAAGGCCCATTTGTCAATGTAGTTGAAATGTGATGAACACAAAACCTTTGCCAGAGGTTTGTGACTCATAGCTTTTTTTCTGAAAATGCCTTTACAGGGAGCTTCTTTGTCCAGTTTACCAGGGAGGGAGAGGTCACAACAAGGACTCTGCAGTCTTGGCTGCCAGCCACCTGGTCCAGGATGGCGAGTGGAGCGGTGCTGCAGAGGTAAAGATGCTGAGTCCATGCCAGCCAGGATCCGTGGAGTAGGGGATGCTCAGAAGGGAGTGGGATGGTTGGGAAGCTGTGCCTGCAGCACATCGAGCCAGATCACACTGCAGAAGGTGACCCAGCACCATGAAACTTTCCCTTTGACACATTACTGGCAATTGCTCCCAGGGTCTCCCTTCCGGAGTGGCAAAACTCATAGGATCTTGAAAGCCTGTGGCAGGGTGGGCAGAGGGAAGAGTTACTTTCCTGCTTGGACTGCACCTTCCTCTCCATGCTGGTGAGGCTCTGTGGTCGTTAATCTAGCCTGTTTATCTTTCAGCAAAGAGCCGCTGATGCAGCATCGGGCAGAGCTGGATGGAACTAGGCTGTCTTTGGATTCAGGTAAGGAAACAGAGAAAGCCTGGGGTGGAAGGAGGAATCAATTTCCCTGGGTAGGAGGAGGCTCTCTCTCTCTCTTTCACAATGCAGTAGCCCGATGTGGTTTGTAAGCACTGCTCCAAATCCTGGAAGTTGGCAGGGTCTTCATTGCTGAGCAGCTGACTTAAAGGCTCACAACCCAACAGGATGGTAGGGTTAGCTGCACTTCTAGGAGGCAGCCCTCTGACAGCTGACCTCTTGCACAGGCTACCCGCAAAGAAATGCTTTCTTCTTGCATGGTTTAGTGACTTGACTTTGAACAGCATCTCTGAAGTCAGGTACTGGTTCAGTGCTCCATGAGCACCTCAGGCTCCTATTGGCCAGGTGAGAAGACAATGCAAACTCACTCTCACAGAACGGCATCCAGATCTGGGTGCCACAATTTAAGGAGGATATTGATAAGCTGGAACGTGTGCAGAGAGGGGCAGCCAAGATGATCAAGGGTCTGGAAACCAAGCCTTATGAGGAACGGTTGAAGGAGCTGGGTATGTTTAGCCTGGAAAAGAGACTGAGACGAGATATGATAGCCATCTTCAAATATCTAAAAGGGCTTTCATATGGAAGATGGAACAAGCTTGTTTTCTCCTGCTCTGGAACCAATGGCTTCAGGTTACAAGAAAGGAGATTCTTACAAAACATATGACAGTAAGAGCTGTTTGACTGTGGAACAGACTCCCTTGGAAAGTGGAGGACTGTCCTTCCTTGGAGGCTTTTAAGCAGAGGTTGGATGGCCATCTGCCATGGATGCTTTAGTTGAGGTTCCTGCATTGCAGGGAGTTGGACTAGATGACCCCTGGGAGTATCCTTCCAACTCAGTAATTCTATGATTCTAGGCCCCAGTTTCTGTTCTCTTTCTCCCATCCCAACTACAATGGAGCCACCACTCCCTGGTCTTAGATCTTGGATCACATGTCTAGTGTGCATTGACATTAAACAGGCATGGTCCTTCCTTCCTTCCTTCCTTCCTTCCTTCCTTCCTTCCTTCCTTCCTTCCTTCCTTTCTGAGACTGCGTACACACTATACTTTTCAAGCACATTTGAAACACTTTCTTTCCTGAAAAGAATTCTGAGCACTGTAATTTACCCCTCAGAGAGTCGCAATTCCCAGCAACGCTTAACAAACTACAGTGCCCAGATATCGGCCTGGGGGGTGGGGGTGGTATTTTGAATGTGCTTTAAAGGTATAGTGCGCTTGGGAGCCGCTAGCTATCTTGTTCCACCCTTGTTGTTCAAGGGATGGGGAGGTGTATGTTGATGCCTCTGATTCTGTTGCTAGCTTCTGGTTTGGAGTTGACTGGGAAATATTCCATGCTGACTTTGCTGACCCGGCACATTAGAAGCTGAGATGAGTACAACAAGTCTGACCTTTTGCCCTCCATTCTCTAGGAACAATGGCCAGTTCAGAAGGTGAATCAGAAAGGGTGATGGATGAGAGAAGGCATAGCTCTGATAGCACAAACAAGGTGAGCAGCATTAGGGGGACCACTTTACTTTTAGATGACTTATTCTTAACAGGAAGTTCCCAAGTACAGTGGTACCCCACAAGACGAATGCCTCGCAAGACGGAAAACCCGCTAGACGAAAGGGTTTTCCGTTTCTGAGTTGCTTCGCAAGACGATTTTCCCTATGGGCTTGCTTCCCAAGACTTGCTAGTCTTGCGTTTCCCCCCCCCACTTCCCCCCCTTTTTCTAAGCCGCTAATAGCCTTTTAGCAGCTTAGCCGCTAATTCTTTAATAGCCGCTAAACCGCTAATAGCGCTAATCCGCTTAGCCGCTAATAGGGTTGCTTCGCAAGACGAAAAAACCGCTAGACGAAGAGAATCGTGGAACAGATTCTTTTCGTCTTGCGAGGCACCACTGTAGTGTCCATCTTAGGTGCTGATCAGCTCCAGAACTGCTTAGTTTCATACATAGCACTATGGGGGGGGGGTCCCACTTCTCATAATCCATTTACCAGCTGGAACCTGCCTTGTTCCACCCTAGCAAGTCTTTCCCTTAAAAGGATGTTCCAGCGTGCTCTACATGGAAGGAGACATTTTCTTCTGCCTCTGCTCCTCACTACTGTGTGAGCTTAGCATCACTGGGGTTCCTACCTGTGTCACTCCTTCCTCTTCTAGGAGAGCCTAGTCCATCACCGCAGGGCTATGTGTCCTCCTTTACACCTGTCTGCTGCTCTTTCCCTTTGCAGCGTTGTGCTAGGAAACTCCAGGAACCGGCACGCAAGGAGAGCACGAGGGGCAGGGAACCAACGGTGCACTTTGAAGATAGTGGTGAGAGTGATGAAGGTTGGTGAGTGAGACTTTGCCATTGCTTTCCTCATTTGCTCTTCTCCTCTGGGAGTGTCCCCTTCCCTTCTTTTAATGTTATTTATTTACATTTTCTAGACTCTCCCATCCACTTCCTTTTCTGCCATTCATTCTCTTTTGTTTTGCTTCTCCTTCTTTTCTAAATAATTTTTATTTGATTTTACAATTATAAAAATATAATAATACACATCCATAGTTAAAAGATTCCTCCAAATCTCTGGATTGCATCTTTTCCAGTAATCCATATTTTTTAATAACTCCATTATCTCCATAGTACCCGTTACATTACAAGTGTTATTGCAATCCTGCTAATGTTTTCATCTGTTTACAGTGGTCTCCAAGATAAATTACCGTATTTTTCGCACCATAGGACGCACTTTTTCCCTCCTAAAAAGCAAAGGAAAATGTGTGTGCGTCCTATGGAGCGAATGCAGGCTTTCGCTGAAGCCTGGAGAGTGAGAGGGGTCGGTGCGCACCGACCCCTCTCGCTCTCCAGGCTTCAGGAAGCTATCCGCTAGCCGTGGGAGACCCAGCTCTCCCACGGCTAGCGAAGCGCCGCGCTAATCCCGAAGCTTGGGGCGTGCGGAGCTCAGCGCGCCCCAAGCTTCTGGGTGCCGGCAAGGTCTCGCTAGCCCTGGGAGAGCCCCGCGACGTCGCGGGGCTCTCCCAGGGCTAGCGAAGCGCCGCGCTAATCCCGAAGCTTGGGGCGTGCGGAGCTCAGCGCGCCCCAAGCTTCTGGGCGCCAGCAAGGGCTAGCGGAGACCTTGCCGGCGCCCAGAAGCTTGGGGCGTGCTGAGCTCCGCACGCCCCAAGCTTCGGGATTAGCGCTCCGCTAGCCGTGTCTAGGCTGCGGATAGCAGCCTGCTTCCCGGAGCGTCGGGCGCCCTGAAAGCAGAGCTCCAGGCGCTTCGGGAACACATCCGCAGCGTGGGGAGCCTTGCAGGAATTCCCCACAGGGCTCCCCACGCTGCGGATAGCAGCCTGCTGCCTGGCGGGTGGGGCGCCCTGAAGCAGAGCGCCCCTCGCGCCAGGCAGACATCCGCAGAGTCGGGAGCCTTGCAGGAGTTCCCCACAGGGCTCCCCACGCTGCGGATAGCAGCCTGCCGCCCGGCGGGTGAGGCGCCCTGAAGCAGAGCGCCCCGCGCGCCAGGCAGACATCAGCCAGCCCCACAAGCTCAGGGGACAGCAGGGAGGTGCAGCGCCACTATCCCGCTGTTCCTCGACCTGGTTCGGTTTCCCTGACCTGCTTTTGGGGGGGAAATAAAGGGGGGGAAATTTTCCTTTATTTCCCCCCCAAAAAAACTAGGTGTGTCCTATGGTCCGGTGCGTCCAATCGTGCGAAAAATACGGTATAACTTTTCCCCGTTCCTTATTAAAGTTTTGGCAATGATTAGCGCAAGTTAGCCCAGGGAACCCCATAGCTAAGCGGGGATTTGAACCCTGGTCTCCTGGGTCCTAGTTCCTCACTGTTTTATTTCCTGCTTTATTTTAGCTATGTCATTCTGTTTGCTTGTTTCATGGCTGAAGAGCAATGGATGGATGGTTTGCCTCTATCCTGAGTGGGAAAAATCTACATTGCAACTGGTCTTGATCTAGGCTAGAAAGATCTTGACTATAAAGGCCTGGCAGTAGCTGGTATCTTGTAAATCTAGTGTGTGGGTGACCTGTAAATCAAGTGCTTTTGACCAACCTCAAACTCAGGGGTCAGAAAACATTTTCAGCAGGGGGCCGGTCCACTGTCCCTCAGACCTTGTGGGGGGGCTGGGCTATATTTGGGGAAAAAATAATGAACGAATTCCTATGCCCCACATATAACCCAGAGATGCATTTTGAATAAAAGCACACATTCTACTCATGTCAAAACACCACACAGGCCCCACAAATAACCCAGAGATGCATTTTAAATAAAAGGACACATTCTACTCATGGAAAAACATGCTGATTCCCGGACCATCCGCAGGCCAAATTGAGAAAGAGATTGGGCCAGATCCGGCCTCCGGGCCTTAGTTTGCCTACCCATGCTCCAACTACTAGCTTGCCATAGGTAAAGGTAAAGGGACCCCTGACCATTAGGTCCAGTCGTGGACGACTCTGGGGTTGCGGTGCTCATCTCGCTTTATTGGCTGAGGGAGCCGGCATACAGCTTCCAGGTCATGTGGCCAGCATGACTAAGCCACTTCTGACAAACCAGAGCAGCGTATGGAAACGCTGTTTAGCTTCCCGCCAGAGCGGTACCTATTTATCTACTTGCACTAGAGTGCTTTTGAACTGCTAGGTTGGCAGGAGCAGGGACCGAGCAATGGGAGCTCACCCTGTCATGTGGATTCGAACTGCTGACCTTCTGATTGGCAAGCCCTATGCTCTGTGGTTTAGACCCATAGCTTGCCATAGCTTGGTGTTTTCTACTCAGATACAGAATGATGTCATGGAGCTCCCATGGTACCTTGATTTTCCTTGTCTGACTCTGGTTTGGCTCTGCTTCAAGGCTGATCTTTCTTTACCTAGACCCAGGTCCCTCTGAGGATGCGCTGACTACCTCCGCGATGGAACTTTCTGTGCTGCAAAGGCTGGGTCTGCATAGGTAGGAACCTTCCACGTATCTGTTTCTTGTGAGCAGGGAGGGCTGTATGAAGCATGGCACCTATTCCAAGAAGGCGGCACGAAAATGATCTTGCAGTCAGACGGAAGCAAACTGCTGCATTTCGGATCATGTCGGCCCACGTAGACAGTCTTGCAGGACATTGTGAAGCCATGGGGAATCTTACCATATTATTTCCCGACCGGTTCCCTTGTATACCTTGGGCTAATATTGGCACTGCAATCCCTTTGCCCTTCTTCTTGAACAGAAGTATTCCCATCTAGATCTCTTTGCTCAGAGTTTTTGCAGATAAGAGGATCAAGAATGCAACACGTTGTGGATGTCATGAAATTCTACTCAGTATTGAACCAGAGCAGATTCCAGCGTATAGTTTGCAGAGTAAAAACTTAAACATGTTTCAGGATTAAAAAAAGAAAGAAAGACCAGAGATCATTAATATTTCATCCTGCAGAGCTCTACTGCTACTGCAGGCAAATGAACATAATGGTCACAAATCCAATACATGCAGGACTGGCACTTTCCATAAGAAATCCAGTTGCAGCAGACTTAACTTAAACTTACAATAACTTATAATAAGTATAAACCTTAACACCAAGCATACTATGTACAGAGCACCACACCAGAAGAAAAAGATATAGAAAGAGAAAGTGCAACCCAGGCTCCTTCTGGCCTTACTTTAATAGTCAGCCTAACCTGACAGAAAGAGATAAGAGAACCAGTTTAAGCCAGCTGTAATCAGCTTCTCTGAAGGAATAACCCAAACACGAACCTTCTGCTTGTTTCTTTCACACAGAGAAGCTTCCAGAACCCTCTTGAATTAAGTAGAATAGGAAAGATCTCTACACATCAGATCAATACTTTCTGCACTAAGAAATACAAACTGACTGTGGATTCCCCTCCCCACCCCCCAGTTAGTGAGCATTTAGCTTTTTGTACAGTTTCAGATTTAGACAAAGGCTATCCTGGGTGGGAAACCACAGGTCCTCCAACCTGCTGAGCTGTCTGTGCTGTGCCAAATCTCTTATGGCTCTGCTTTCTCTTCCTTCGCAGGGTAGCTTTGACAGAGCAGGATGTGGAGGTGAGTTGAGTGCTGTTGTCTCCACATGGCTTGATGTCTACTATCACTTTTGTGTGCCACTTTAAATGAAATATTCTGAGGCTTAGCGAGACCATCATCAGAACAGCAAATGATCATAGCAACCAGCTTCAATCTCGCAGTTGATTTGGGGGCCTTGCTTTCCAGCTGGTAGTTAGGCAGTGGCTCTGGCCATTGTGATGCTCTGACTATTCAGTCAGTCAGGTTGTTATTGTTCGTAGCCTGTGGCCATAACAATATTAAATCGCAAAACAAACAAACAAGACAATCCGAGTGTGAGATAAAACATCCATGCGTAGAACTGCAAATTGTCAAAACTTAAAGTTTACCCAAATAATTTAGCTTTCAAAATTCCCTTGGCAAATTACACTGTTTTAAATAGCTAAACTATACACAACAAATTTGTCTACGTTGGTCAGCAGCCTTCTAATTTTGAAATCATTTCATTTACCTTCTTAACAATTCTGGAATGAACAGAGAAATCTGTCGGAACCAAGAAGAAGAAGAAGAAGAGTTTGGATTTGATATCCCGCCTTTCACTCCCTTTAAGGAGTCTCAAAGCGGCTAACATTCTCCTTTCCCTTCCTCCCCCACAACAAACACTCTGTGAGGTGAGTGGGGCTGAGAGACTTCAAAGTGTGACTAGCCCAAGGTCACCCAGCAGCTGCATGTGGAGGAGCGGAGACGCGAACCCGGTTACCCAGATTACGTGACTACCGCTCTTAACCACTACACCACCCTGGCTCTCAACCAAGTTGATGGACTATGCCAAAATGGCAAAAAATGGGGGGAAATGGGAAGCTCAGAAATCAAGAAGACAATAACTTTAAAAAAGAATGGGGAAAGTTCATAATTTATTTACGAGACCATTGTTAGCAGGTTAAAACATTAGGAGGATTTTAAACACACTTGTAAAGTAATGGAAAGTATGGATTATTTGGAAGGATAAAAATTTGGATAAGTGTTGATATGCAGTTGTAAATATTACCATTAGGACCCATGGAAGAGATGGGGAGAAGTCAGGAGATTCAAAGTAATTTTGATAGTTAGATCTTGAATTGTTTTTTGTTGTATGTTTACATTTTTAAGAAATCAAACTAATATATATATAATAAAACCACAACAACAAATAATTGCTGGTAGGTGAGGGTGTGTGTGCAGTTCCACCCATCCTTGAGTGAGAGTCTTGGTGGAGCACAGCAAGCTGGGTGAGAGCCAGATTGCTTGGAGGAACAGTCCATCTGTGTGACTGATGGGTGGCTGTTTGTATTGTTATTTACATTGTTCTGTCCATGAATGGCTTCATTGTCTCCTTGGCTTTTTCTATTCATTTTTGTTGAGTGGAAGGAGAGACTGGTGTTAGCGGTTGGTGACTGAATGGGAGACATTAGAATGATTGGGTGGATGATGTGTTTGTGTGTATTGGTGGGAGCAAAATGGGACAAGTGATACTGAATGAGTAATAGGTATTTATGATTTGTGCAGATGTCAGGCAGAAATTGAGTCTCACATGTAGTATTTTGCAAGTCAGGGTGTGCCTTGGTGAAAGGCAGGCTGGAGATGGAAGGAATCACTGACTCTAAAGATGTTTTTAAATGTCTTTAGTTTTAGTGATTTTATTGTTTTATTGCATTGCATTGCAGTTTCGCCGTTTCATTGTTTGTTATATATATCATATTTATTGTTTTGTAAATCACTTAGAGACTGATTTCAGTATTAAGCAGAATACAAATATTATATAATGCACAATGTTTCCAGTATGGCTGATGCTCTGACTAACCACCTGCTGCCCTTGGTGGGGAACATCCGGCACTCATCTCAAGTTGTCCATAGAGCAAGTATTAAGTTGATCAGCAGCTCATTGCACACAGTTGGTAAATCTCTACATTCATAACTGCTGATCATTCGCAATCCATTTGCAGCACATTCCAAGGGCCTTGCTAGAAAGAATAGCATGGGAAAATACACTGTTCCCAATAGTCACATTTCCCCAATAGTTAAATCACACTTTATTATTGCTGGGAAGGTGCAATACTTTCTTCAGCTATCAGGGCATGTCTTGAACAATTATGACATTGAGATGTGCCTGGAAGATGGATTCTCAAGACTCCACAGGCACCTGCTTGATGGTCATGACGACACCAATAACAATGGACCTCCCAAAGTCTTACTATCTCCACCCAGTGCCCAGCCTGAATGTGTAGACATTAGGCTAGAAACATGGCGCTCCAACTGAAGTTGACTGACCAGTCTCCAGGCACAGCCTTGAAGTGCTTCTTATCAGTTTAACTCTCACACAGAGATGTATACACAACTGGCAACCTGATTTCCCCTTCTTCCCCCGCCCCCCCCCCGACTGGCTGTTGAGGTGAAACTGAGCCAGTGTGGTATAGTGGTTAAGAGCGGTAGTCTTGTAATCTGGTGAACCTGGTTCGCGTCTCTGCTCCTCCACATGCAGCTGCTGGGTAACCTTGGGCCAGTCACACTTCCTTGAAGTCTCTCAGCCCCACTCAGCTCACAGAGTGTTTGTTGTGGGGGAGGAAGGGAAAGGAGAATGCTAGCCACTTTGAGACTCCTGAAGGGGAGTGATAAACTGGGATATCAAATCCAAACTCTTCTTCTCTTCAAGAGCCTGAAAACTTCAGGAATACATTTGCATAAAATTATTAAAATATTTAAGCAAAATATAGATGCTTGTTTCTAGAACTGGCCTTCCTTTTCTCACAAGCCAGGCCATAAACATTTCCCCTAAAATGCTTTTGTTTTTGCAATGGTGCTGGTGAGTTTCCTTTCCTTTTTTTTCTTTTTAAACCTATGCTTGCATTTGAATGCCGGCTGAGTTTCCTGAGAGTCGTTTGCTGTGTTTTGACCTGCCCCCTTTCTTGGCAGGCAGCTTTTGCACACTTGGCTCTTGCCTTCCGGTGCGACGTGTTCACGCTGAGGCGGCGAGTGCAGGTGGAAGAGCGAGCGAGGAACACAGCTGAGGAGAATATTCAGCATGAGCTTGGGGAATGCCGGGCGATGCTGCAGGTCAGTGAAGCCATGTCCCAAGAACCCTTGGCCATTTGGACCATTCGTTTGCTGCATTCTTCTTAAAGCATTGTGACTAGATTTGGCACAAAGGTTCCTGAGATCTTGGTGTTTTGATGCAGTTGGGTGCCATTTTGAATCAAGATGGTGGACTGAACCTTTCAAAGCCGCACTGATTATTTTGGTTTCTTAGAATTCTCAAGCAATGCTAGGTATGAGGCTGCTAGTCTGTTGCAAGGTACAAACAGGATCACTGTTGGCTATAAGCACTTTAGGGGATGTGGTGCTTTTTGTTGCTTGTGTCGTACTGTCTTTCATCTATACAGTACACAGGACATAGTCCAGTGAGTGGTGCTGTCTTCTCCCCTTTACTGATTCTCATGGTCACCATATACCTCTTTTCTCAACATTTTTAAGTGGGTGTCCCTCACCATCATTTTTGCACCCCATTTAGTGTGTCATTTAAAAATTATGTTACTTGCACTATTCCACCATGGTGCAATTGCAGAAATCTGAAAACTGCAAAGTTATTTCCGAATATGGTTGGGTGATAGCTGTTGGTAAGCAGCCTAAGTTAATTGTACTTAGTTTCATTTAAATAAATGAGACTTGAGTAATGATTAACTTGATCCCATGGAGTAATGATTGGGCCTAATTTCAACTATCTTCATTTTGATCCAGCTGTTCACAGAATATCACAGATATTCACAGAATATGAGGTGCTGCTGGAGGAAAAGGGGGAGGTGATTTTGACAGATTCCCCCTAAAGACCTCATGGCCACCTCTCCACACTATTTTGGAGGTCCCCCTATCCTCCAGAGCCATTTTTTTTCCAGGGGGGCAACAACAGAGAGGGGGAATCAGCAAAAATCACCTCCCTCTGCTTCCTCCAGCTGGAGGAACTGTAAACCCTGTAAATAGAGTTCTGCTCATGGGAACTGTGGATCCAAGCAATTGTCTAAACCAAACCTGATTAAACTGCTGGTGAAAATGTCTAATGCGTAAGTAATGATCCATTGCTTGGGACTGCCTTTTTATCAGGTCTGGTGAGGAACCTCAATTAGGAGTTAGGCTGATAGTCCAGTTAATCCAATATTTTCCATCTTGTGTTTTATCTCTCCAGAAGCTGGATCAGGCCTGCCTGGACCCCAGGCACAAGGAATTGGTAGAACATTTGCAAAGCACTCTTGCCGTCCTAGAAGGAGCAATTGAACGGGCAATGGGCGCAGCGGAGAAATTAGGAGCTGTCCATCAGGTCAATTACAATGGCAAATGACTGTGGGCTCTTCTACAATTGTGTCTTTTTGCCAGTGTAGAACTTAAATTCACACTATCGGTTGTTTTAAAGATTTACCATAGGCATGAGGAATCCCATTTAGCCCTAGAGTCAATTTCCCTTCTAACCAACCTTCTTGGGGGCCACATGCCACAGCAAAAGTGGGCAGAACAATTGCTATAAATTTTACCTTTGTACAGCAGGCTAATTTCTGCAAACACTTGCACACCCCCAGGACCCTTCATCCAGGCAAGTAAGAGGTGTTTTTCGGAGTTCAAGGACACATTCCAGCCAGGCAAAAACACTCAAGGAGAGTGGGAAGCAGGACTCATGAGGGATGTGACTAAGGAGGGAGTCTGGCCTGTGGAGAATTCTGAGGGCCAAATTGCGTTTGGCTTCTGGGCCTGAGCTCCGCCAACTTACTGTATCAAGATCTTGAAGCTTTTATTAAAAGGACTCTTGTTGTTTTCTTTCGAGAGCTGATACAGCACAAGTGAATGTGCTCTGGAGGACCAGGAATCCCCCAGTTTAATCTGCTATTAACTCTGTAGGTTATTAACTCTATAGGCAATCCATCACCTCTCACCCAAAGTACCTCCATGGCCAATGTGCAATACAGAAATAAGTAAACACGCAGCAATATCTCCAGGCCCCTTCCCAAGAGGATTGTGCTGGC